TGTCTTGCCTCTATTACATATATGATATTGTACATGTCAAAACAAAGTTATTCTTGCTCATTCAAAAGCAGATGATTTCGTCGGTTTTTTCAATCTTTTGAGATCTAGATAGTTACCCAGTTATATGATTATAGTGTATCATATTGTATCATGGTGTAGTACTAAATGTGAATGTGAATGTTCATAATGATTTTTATGTGCCTTGATGCTGTACAAAGAATAGAAATCCTTCTAAATGTTGCCATATTATATCTTTGGTGTATTTATGTATTCTATTCTAAGAGAGAAAGTCGGTCTGTCATGATATATGTATAACTCTATATGGTAGATTCTATCGTTAGAAACGGAAACATGTTACATAGCTGTGCTATTGTCGGCAATTTTGTGCTCCAATATTTATAATAAAAAAGAACCTTCTGGTCTAAGATATGAAATTTGTCAAAGGTTTTGGAGTTTTTTGACTGTGTGATGATTATACATAGAATAACAATCATTAAGTTTATGATTTCACCATGAGGGTAGTCCTGAAAAGGACTGTTGGATTTGAGAGGGGATAGAAAATAAAATAGTGTGAGAGAGAAGTACATTGTATTCTTCAATTTTTTAAATTTTGCTATGAAGGACTACTTGATATTGCAGGGAGAAAGGTAGAGAAAATCAATAGAGGTTTTCTTTTGTAAGTAGAGACCTGAAAAGGGACTGGTAAACCTGTTTATGAGAGAGAAAGAAGGAAAAAAGGAGAGAGAGAGAGAGAGAGAGAAAGAGAGAGAATTGGAGAGAGGCTCAATATTCTGAACATGGGTTGATGGTAGGCATAGAACTGTAGTTGATATACCGGTACACGTAATACAGCAGAAAGAACAAAAAATGAGGGATCTAATGTTGGGAGGATGAGAGAGAGAGAGAGAGAGAGAGAGAGAGAGCAAGAGATAGAGGAAGGTATAAAAGTGAGGAGAAAAGACTCAAAGAGTGGAGAGTGATGCATGAATACGCAACATGGCTAGAGGCAGGGGAGAGAAAGAGGAGAGAGGGATTGAGGGTAAGAGAGAGAAAGATGGTGGGGGGGGGGGGCGTGTGGAGATACACGTTTGTTGAAATGAAAGAAATAGAGGTACTACATGAACATGAAGAGACAGAGACAAGTTGAAAGCAAGTATTATGATTTCACCCCAATTTCATTGCAACATAAATTGGACGAGGAGATAAAACAAAAGAGGAAAATAAGTTTCAAAGTACTTGCGTTACTTTTTTTCTTTTATTTATATTTCAATATCTGGCTTGGCATATTCCTATTGTGTACATCTGGATACTAACAGGATTTCAACCATTACAATATATTTATATCATTCATGATAATACACTAAAATATTCTACAGAACAGTTATTTACATTTGCAATCATTGATAACATATTTTTCAATTTACATATACATCAAAATGACATTGTAATTCACACACTTGAAGCTCAATGAGACTACTTTTGGTAAGCCCCAAATACTTTCCATTTGATTTCTTTGTGATATAATAGAAAGCAAAAAAGCCATAATTTTTCAAAATGTGAAAAGAGGTAAAAGTTCCCTTGGTCATGATCTATATGAATTGCACATCTGTTTGGAGCCAGAAGGGCATGAATTCATATACTTTTAACATATCTTAACGCCCTTCTGGCTCTGCACAGACTATATGTTTCTTTATTTTATTTCGTAACTCCTTTAATAGAGGAGGTTTATAAAATGGACCGTCAACACTACTGGGCCAGAAGGGATTAGACTTCACAGCGGGGTCACTGACAGGTGGCTGGCTATCTCATTAACTCAGCTCTCAACTAACATAAGAAAAATAGGATTATGGGGGACCAACAGGCACCGATTGGGGAAGTTTTCTATTTAGAGGGAGCAAGTAGCTACAAGTAGGACAGTGGGGCTTCAATAGAGAATGTTTATAAAATGGATTTCAAAGAACGGGGAATATTTTGTTTTAAGTGTCCGAATATCCAGAGGATCTTGTTTATTTTCTATGCATTTTCCTGTTTAACAAATTATTTTTAAAAAAGTATTAAAGACAGGAAAACGCATTGTTTGTATTTTGAAAACCACAGTATCAAGATAATGATTGTGCATAACACTAGTCTGAGTTTGATTAAAAACACAATTTCACAGTACATGAAAACTTAAGACTACATATTAAAGTACACTGTACTATTGCTGCATAAAATTAATGATCTTTTGGCAAGAATTTATAAAAAAAATAGTTGCATCTACTATTCTGATCATGTCATATGACTAAATGCAAACTCCAACTTAAAGTAGATATTCATTGATTTTAAAAACTAACTTTATTTTCATTATTGCAAAATTGAAACTTTGATTCGACAAGGTTATCAAAATCCAATACTTGGAAACATTCGAAGTAATGATTATTATAAATTACAAAACGCTTAAATACAGCCCCGGCATAGCACCTGAAGAGCTCTCCGAACGCTGCTGGGATGTGTGAGATCACAGTATGGACATGATTTGCACAAGCAGACGATGTCCCATGACATCTCAGACATTTTCAGAACCTGTGTTTTCATCTTCTCTTGAGTTCTTTCTCTTACTTCACTACCATCAGGCTAAATGTATAATCTATTGCCTCACTCTAAACCCCGCCCATGGTTTTATTTTGATGACAAATGCAGTGATACAAAAATAAAGGAATCTGTCGCTTGGAAATAAAATAAGACGGCATTGTATATTCAGCTGCACACATCGGGGTATGTTCAGCGTGTCAAGAGGGAACAAATGCCGTCCTTAATATCATTCCGGGGGTTTTTCAATTTGAAAGTCTGGTTTCTTTGATTGTTAATTAACCCCTATCCTGTGTATTTACAAGCAAAAGATTTTAGTTATCAGAATTGGGTCATATCCCCTGTTGAATGGTTTGACATACCATTACATTTATATACACTAAACTCATTATAATTTGACAAATAATAGCTTTGCGATTATGTTCATTCTTTATGGGATGTCGTCTGCTTGGGCAGTATTGGTCCATATAGTGACGTCATTAAAACATCGTTATTTTTCCGGCGAATCTCTTGTATACCCCAGCTGCTATGGAGGTGGTTGTATTCATATTTTTATAAATCACCTGATATGTAGTTGACCTAAAGCTTGTATGATGGCCATCTGTTAGCTTACCAGTTTCTAGTGATACATTAGTTGACATATTTGTGATTTTCTTTGAATTTCACCTTTAAAGCAAAAAGAAAATAACTGAATATTCAATTGAATTTCAATTTCTGTTCTGTATGCTCAATATATCAGCCTACACATTAAACTGGTTGTCTTTACTCATGGTACCCTCTATAAACAAGAAATTGGTGATTGTTACACCTGAGTACTATATGGAATTATGTATACATGGAATCCATCATCACAATCATCATTTATCAAAGTACTGATGTTCCCGCCATGATGACACTTCTCCCTCCATTTTTTCTTGTCTCAAGCATCCTCCTTATTTAGACCAACCTTACTGCTTTTTTTCTTCACCATATCTTTCCCTGAAACCTTTGGTTTTCCTTTCCCTCTTATGCCATCAACTTCCAGATCCCACTCTCTTTTCACATGTTCATGATCTTTTCTTATCAACATAAGACCAATTCATTTCAATCCACTTATTTGTCATTCACTTTCTCTTTGCAGTGGTGGCATGTGTAATATGTGGAGGTCCATTGATCTGGGAGATCATTCTAAGTGTGTCTTGGTCATTCTAGAGATATGTACCAGATATAATGATGAAAGATTTCAAGCTAGCTTTGTCCATCACTTTCTCCGAGGGGTTGTGGTATATGCTAGATCCACTGTTCAAGACATTCTAAGGATCATTCAAAGTCATTCTAGAGATTCAGAAACATACTCGAGGAGAAGTTTTGATGAGAGAGTTCAAGGTGGGTTTACAAATCACTTTCTCCTGGGGGCTCTTGTATGTGCTAGATCCAATCTTCAAGACATTCTAGAGACTTATTTACATACTCAAAGAGAAAATTTGAAAAGATATTTCAAGCCGCATTCATCCATCATTTTCTCTTGGTGGTAGTGGCATATGCTAGATCCACTCTTCAACACATTCTAAAGATCATTCCAAGTCATTCTAGAGATTCAGTTACATACTCTAGGAGGATATTTGATGAGACAGATCAAGCTGGATTTTTCTCTTGCGGCTGTGGTGTGAGTTAGATCCACTGTTCAAGACATTCTACAGATCATTCAAAGTCTTCTAGAGATGCATTTCAAGGGGAAGATTTGATGAGAGAGTTCAAGCTGGCTTTGTTCCATCACTTTCTCTTGGTGGTAGTGGCATGTTTAAGCTACATTGTACATGTAGATCCATCGTTCAAAACATTCTAAAGATCATTTGAAGTCATTCTAGAGATTCATTTACAAACTCAAGGAGAAGATTTGATGAGAGAGTTCAAAGTGGGTTTTTTAAATCACTTTCTCCTGGGGGTTGTGGTATGAGTTAGATCCACTGTTCAAGACATTCTAAAGATCATTCAAAGTCATTCTAGAGATTCAGTTACATACTCAAGTAGGAGATTTGATGAGAGAGCGTTCAAGGTGGGTTTACAAATCATTTTCTCCTGGCGATTGTGCTCATCCTAGAGATACATTTACATACTAAATGAAAAGATTTGAATGGATATTTCAAGCTGGATTTGTCCGTCACTTTCTCTTGGCGGTTGTGGTATATGCTAAATCCACTGTTCAACACATTCTAAAGATCATTCCAAGTCATTCTAGAGGAGGAGATTTGATGAGAGAGTTCAAGGTGGGCTTACAAATCACATAAGTCGATTCAACAACTGATGGTCGTTATTTTCCCACTTAAAGCCATTTTCAAGCCCTTGCGTTTTTGAGGGAAGTTCTACATTAGTATTGACCTTTAAATGCCGTTGGAACTTAAGCTTTTCATTTTTGGGGCCTGCAAATGGGACATAGTACCTTTGACGGACTACAAACAGATATACCAGGCAAGGTTTAGACGAGACATTTCAAGCTGGGTTTACAAATCACTTTCTCTTGGGGGTCGCTGTATGAGTAAGGTCCACTGTCCTGGACATCCTGAAGATCTGAGGTAGCATGGAGCTCAGCTGAGAGAACAGATCATCTGATATACCCTGAAGAGTAAAATGAAAAGAGCAATAAATAAACTATTTATTCATTCATACAGTTCTGTGAAAAGTAAAGGTAAAAAAAAAAAATTACAGGTGTTCAGGTCATCCGTGGTATCATTGTCTTAGTTCTTTATAATAAATTGTTGAAAAATATGTTTAAAGATACCCCTTTGGATGTCATTACAGGTTTGTTGCTGTTCATTTATCCATAAATAATATCCAAAAGTGAAGACTGATGATAATACATGTAGTTTAATAATATCCCACCAAAAATACACATGTCGTGTTGATTTTAAACAGTAATCTCAAGATCAAGAAGTTTGTGTGCAAAACTTCATAAATCTTTTAAAACTTATGTTGGACAGTGCTTTTCGGGATGCATATTTTTCGACAAATCCAAAGGAACAAAGGGACAGCCGGACCCACCCCAATCATAAAATGGAAATGATTCGCTTCATGAGTCGTTACAATATTACTTACCTTTGGTACAACAAACTGAATGGTTCTTGATTCGTTCCCTCCCCATGTGGCCATCTCCATCATGAAACCTTTCACACACTTGAAGACTAGTTCAGCTCGCTTAATACACCAAGGTATTGTCATTTCCTGTATTAAACAGATAGACCAACAAACAAACATGAATTGTCAGGCAAGTGCAAGTTAAAATGAGTGGGAACAGGATACAAAGTCTATGCACAGTACGAAAATAAATGCTTAGCTCAATATCGCTTTCTCCACTAGACTTTTATATTTCGTGTACTAGCTAGAAAAAGGCAGTAAAATAAACCTAGGTGGCTAGAAAATATTGGAAAATTTTGTATGCTAGTGCAGTTTTCACCTTCTCTTGTGGTTAATTTGAGCAAAACCTTGATTGTTTGTTTTCTATGTCACTCATTATATGCTAGTGTCATGTAACATGCAGGTTAATGAAATACCTTTGTATTATACATAAGAGCCATTGCTTGTGGCTCATTGAGAACAACTGACTGTAAACAAGAGGGTCAAACAAAATTCAAGACTGTTCCTTGCGTGTTAGCATGACTAAAATAGAATATAAACCTATAAAATAGAATATATTACAATCTATGAGCATTCATTTTAACATTTGAAGAATATATTTCACCCCAAGCATCAAAGGTATTTCATTCATTCATGCTCAAAATCTATAACGTAAGCTATGTCACAATTCATATTTGATCTGAACAAAGATCTCAGATAAAAAAGAATATAAACTTGTAAAATAGGAAAATATTACAATCTTTGAGACTTCATTTTACAGTTTAAAGAATATTTACCACCCCAAGCATGAAACGTATTTCATTCATTCACAACTTCTACAAAATTAGCTCATAGCTGCCAACATCTGAAATTTTCAATTAGTAATAAGGGTAAAATGGCAATCATGTGTGGTACGATTAACGATTATAAAACCGCAACCAAACAAGTATGCGATTGCGCAACTTTGTTCACTATTCAATATGTGCATCCTATATTTGCACCTATATTTGTAATTCTTGAAGGTGCATTCGTTAATTTGTACAAAAGGTCTGAAATTTGTAGTAATTTCGACTTTTTTGTAATAGCTGATAGCTATGTAAGCCTCGTCACAATTCATATTTGGGCCAAACAAAGATCTCAGATGTACGTAAACCCACCTCGTACATCTCATACATGAGGAACAATGGAAGCGTGATGGAGAGGATATCAAACTGAACGGCGTACTTCAAGATGTTCCGCAGCGCGAGGATGCAGCGGTGTCGGGAGTTGATGTCGCTGGATCGTAAGCTGTCGTCTGACACCAGATGAAAGATGATGTGACACTCGGCAAGATTGGAATGCCTTGTAACGTAGAAATCACCTGTCGGAAGAGAGGAAGTAACATTCTCTTTATTCTGACATTACTCATTGATATTACTGATATCGCTATATTTTGTAAAAGCCTACAATTTCTTCATATCCTTCTGCTAAATGTAGCATTTGTGTGATACCAGTTGCTTATTATCATGACAGCAACAACATCAACGAAAGATGGGAGTTGTTGCTACCTTGTTTGGCGTTCAACAATAAGGGATAGAGCAACGTCGATCTGGCGCTGCTCAGTGGCTGCCGGGCTCACGATCAATTGGGCAAAAAGAATTTCCGTTTCAGTTTAATAAAATTTGGAGTGGACTATTAGGCTATTATTATTATCATTATCTTGTCAAAGGATATTAGTGCCGCAGCAGGACTCAACCCATGAACCATGTACTGCGAGGTATCCACTGGACCACGGCACCACTCCATCTCTCCATTTATGCAATAATCTCATCAAATATCTGCTCAATGCACACGATGGCTATTCTAGAACTGTCGAACATAACAAAAAAAAGATTCCTGAAGTTACAAGAAGGGGAGCATTATGACCAAAACTTCTCAGAAAAGGTAGTTATTAACCCTATTTTAACTGGGCTATTTCAGACCAGGTTTTTACTGGGGGGGGGGGGGGGGGGTCAAATTGACCCCCCCCCTAAGATCTCGGCCGTTTCACCGCCGATCGCCACAAAAATTCGCATGCATGTCAAGTGAAGTGTATAGAATACTATGGTAATTTCAAATTTTTTTAAAATTCACTCATTTGCATATTTATGGTAATTTATGCAAATAAGGTCATCAAGTTCACATTTCTGCCCATAAATCATAGATTATTCATATTTAAGTATTCTTTTTCACTACATATATTTATTAGACCATTTGGAATAATAATACAACACAAAAAATTGGAAGAGCCAGATTATTCCTTATGTTATCTCTTGTTTTTATAATTTCTTATGTATTTCATTGTTTTTTTAACTTATGTATTTTATTGTTTTTGTTGTTTTATTTCATTTATAACTACAATTCAACTATTTTGACCCCAAAACAAACATCTAAACTTTAAACAAGACTGAATAACCAATGTTTTATCTATTTTTAGGAAAAATGACTTTTACATATGTTTTGTACACAAATCACGAAAATGAGCGATTTTCGGGCTGACATGCAAAGACAAAAGGTCACGTGACCTTGTAACCGTAGGTCCGATTTTCAAAAAAATTGTTTTAAAAGATGCGTAAGACTCGAAAGTAAAAAGTCATGAAAGGAAAATTTTATATCTGCCGCGGTTTCAGAGTAGTCGCGAAATTTCTACAGGGGGGGGTCACATTGACCCCCCCCCCCAGTTAACGTAGGGTTAAAGCAACAGAAAAAACGGGTAAGATCTATATATAATCAACTTATACAATTTTTTTCCACTGTGTGCCATATTCATCAATCTGTTCAAACATCTATTCTTAAAGTCATATATCATTTCTCACCTGTTCTGAGGTTTGTGGTGAGTTCACCATCTTCGTGTAATGATGTTGGTCTGCTACTCTCAGACCCACTGCTTGAACTGCTGTCTGTGAACACAATCATAATAAACCAACGTCTCTCAAATCAATGTTTGTACAGTGCTTCACTGAAGGACACAATTATTCAATCCTTTGTAAATTTGATGTGTTTTGTAACTCCAGAATGAAAGGTGGACTGGTCAAATAAGGGACTTTGTTGAATACTTTTAGATTGTAAGCTCTAATACATGTATGTCACATTCTCAAGAAACATAAATCAGGACAACTCAATTTTTCACTTACTTTAAAAAAAATCCCCAAACTTGGTTAGGGTATGATAACTTTAGTTTAAACTGTCCATGTACTTTCTCAGCAATCACCAAACTCATTGAATACAATTGGATTCTTGTTATTATTATTGTTTATGCTTATTATGTTGGTTGGTCTGTTTGTTTACCTGACTGCTATCAGAGAAAGCAGCTTGTGCTTTTAAGTAAACAACCAGGGGACCAACGGCTTTATTCCTCTTCGAGGGTTTTGGTAATGAGAATTGATGCCTTACCAAAGGGCAATAGCGCATCGACTTGGTTTCAAACCCTTGACCTCCCAGGTACGAGACACTGCTCAACCACTGAGCGATCACGCCTTCTCAATTGGATTTTGGTATACATGTAAATGGCATCATCTGTAGACCCCAGCCAAAGTTATCTCAGACATAGTACTAAACAGGTTAAAAGAAACAATCAATACATTGAAACATCCAAGGTACATGTAGAAGAGAGAGTACTTACCTCCGCCACTTAATTTCTTTTTGTCCTTGCGCCTTGCGTTGACCCTGAGGGCGCCCTGATGGATCACTCTGAGCTGGGTCTCTAGGTCCGGGAAATGGAAGTCTGTCGACTGCTGACACACCGTGGCAAAATCTACAAATAACACAAATATACATATAGAAATGTATATCGTACTGAAGAACAGAACAATGTATATCATCTGTATCATATTCAGCTTAAGGAGAGTAATAATAAATCTGAATGCTTCTATAGCATTACGGAAGCTAAATGGTGTGGCTGAAAATATTTATACAGTTATCTATCTGTCGATCTATCTATCTGTCTATATCTATATTTCTCTGTATTTCTGGTTTCGTCTTTCTCAATACATCTGTAGATATATATCTATTGACTTCAATTTTACCTAAAATTGACAAGAGACAAAATAGAGAACTAAAACTAAAACTTGTCAACGTAGTTCTTTACTATGTCTTCAGTCAATTTTGCATAATCATCCCTGTCGTAGAACTTCATCTTGTCTTTCAGTATACATATATACCCTGTATATCAATCAACATGTTTCTATCTTACAGTTACTGTATCTATCCATTTATATCACCCTTTTAATACCAGCATACGAGCTGATTAAATCATCTACGATCAGAACTACACCAGGGGGGCATTTCACATAGCCTTTTTTCAATGACAAATGACAAAGAAGCAAGGATTTCAGTAGCTTATAACAAAAACTGTCATTTTTTGCTGATGACAAGTTTTGTTAAATGGGGCCCTGATAAACTGGTTGAGTAGAGTAAAAAGAACTGTCTGAAATATAAATGTATAAATATATTTAACGTACCTCTTTTAATACCGGTATAAGAGCTGACCCTATCATCCACCATGAGCACCACCCCTGACAGATTGGTTGAGTATAGGGAAAGAGCTGTCTGCAGTCGCTGGGGTTGAGGTATCAAAATTCCCCTGTAAAAGCACAACAAACACAGTAGTTTAGAGCTGTTCAAACAGTTGTTTTCTTTTCTCAGTGCAGGATTTGAATCTATTTGAATATGATAACATAAACAGGGATAACATATGGAAAGAAAGTTCACTACAAGTTGTTATGAATTTCAACATTTTACACATTGGGACAATTAAGTACAAATATAAAAAAATGTCAAACAAATAACAAAAGTAAAACAATTCTATACGGTGCTAGCAGAGGATGAGGGAGGGGTACAGAGGCAGAGAGGAGGAAAATAAAGAAAAAGATACATACATAGGAAGCATAAGAGGAAAAGACAGGGGGGGGGGATTCAGAGTAAATATTGAAATATTTATCTTTTTTGCAGGAGGGGGGGGGGGGGGGGAGGAGGGGTACTTTGAAACATTTCAAAGTTGATCAGCTGGTAGATGAGAAGGAATAAAAGGAGTATTCCGAAAAGGCATTACAATTCTTTTTTTTTCTTTTTTTAAATTTTCATTTGGCATGACAGGCTTGATGAAGAATTGATGTATGAAACAGTTTTAAAAAAAAAACATAAACATCTAAATAACAAAAATCCATGTCTTACCCTTCTCTGTTAGGTTTATGCCTACCCAGATCCAAGACATCTATACTCATCAGTCGCAGGTTGTGCATGGTCTTCATTTGGGCACCTGAAAACAAAATAAATGGATAGAAAGGCTTGAATGTAGGAGCTGTCAATTTCCAGGAAAATGTATGTGAAAGGAAGTTTATCAACATTGTTCTACAGATGCCATCAAATAGAACAGGTATAAGAACTCTGATACTGTGTAGGGTTGTTGGAATTTACAAGCAAAATATACACTTATGTGTATATAATCCCACAATCTTAAAGCAAGGCTGCAATAGTTTGGCCAGGAGGGATAAGACATCCCTGCGTGGTCACCGGCAGGCGGTTATCTCATCAAATCAGCTCTCAATTAACATAAGAAAAATGGGATCATGGGGGACCAACGATCACCGATTAGGCATTGTTTGCTATATAGAGGGCGCAAGAAGCTATAAGTAGTGCAGTGGGGCTTTAAGGGTGTTAATATCTTACCTAGATGAATGGTGTAGCTCTCCTCCATCTTGGGTTGATCAGGAACGTTTTCTTCAGGTTCCACCGGCATCGACTCTGACAATGCTCTGATCCTACGACTGTACAGAGAACATGCAATAATACCACGCTTTTAGTAAAACAACTTTGGGGGTCAAAATCTAACGTCAATGAATTAGAGAACCTATCACTGCATGTCCAGAATTTCTTTTTCTTTTCTGTTCAAATGAATAGCATTTAGAACAATGGTTTGTAAGATGCCTTTTTCTTCTGAAATTTGCGCCAAAAGAAAAGAAAACTACATCAATATTGACTGTGCAGATGAAATCCATTGTCTTAGCAGTACAAATCTAAGTATTTTCCATGTTGGGAACTAAGACAATTAACCTATTAGGAACAAGGGGGCATACCAGTTCTCCGACATTCATGAAGCGCTGATTGCCAAAATGGCATCCTTTGGCTACCAGAACTTGGCAACTAGCTTCAGTTTGCTAGTACAAGCCTGAGGAAGGTGTTTGCACACTGAAACCATCACACAGGTAACCTACTAATATTTGGATGTGGCACAGAACCGTTTTACGATTATCCACACCCCCCTAATGAAATTTTTCAGCAGTCGTTTAGGGGCTTTCTATCTACATTTCGGATGTTTTCCTGAAAATGTCTCAAAACTCTCCTCTTTGACCATGATAAATACCAGATTCTTTGATAATTTTTATGTAAAGCGCTGTGAAGCAACAGTTGGTTTGTAAGAGCACTATAGAAATGACTTTATTGTATTGTATTGTACATTTACATTTGACTGTCTTTAGTTACCCAGGGTTAGTAATGTATAAGGAATGTCATGGGCTCTTACCTTACAGGTCCTTCTACACCGTTCCCCATGTCCTCATGTAAGTTCTTGATCCACTCGTGAAACTCCTCACGCTGAGAATCTTGAAGGTTGCGCAACTCGTTGTCCCATCTTGACTCCTCTCTCTAACGCACAATCACACAAATGAAAAAACATACATTGACACCAAAATACTAAGTGTCCAATCTTGCCTACCCTCGCTAAAAGACAAAATTCTGAACAAAGACACGCATCAAATCATTCATTGCCACATCAGGGCAGCGTTTCATGAAACCGTCATAAGTACAAGTTCACCGACATCCCATTGAAACGCGTGTATTAAGTTTAACACACGTTTCAATGAGATGTCGGTGAACTTGTACTTATGACGGTTTCGTGAAACGCTGCCCTAGCCTCCTCTTCCTAAAAGACAAATCACATCAAACAAATAATCAACACAGAAATGAACCCCAAATAGCAACCTTACTCTTCTATTAATACAAATGTATAAATGTACTGGTCCTTTTAATAAATGGTGCATAAAAGACTCACAATTATTAAGATCTTAAAATAATCTTAAAATAACAAAAGTGCAATTTTATATTTCACATATAACCTGAATTGAATTACTGCAAACAAATTATTGAATAAAAATCAATTTTAAATGACTACTTACTTGAGTGTTTTCAAAGTGGATGGCTGCAAGACGGTTGACGTGTAGATCATCATGGGTGATATCTAGATTCTTGACGGCTCTCTCCATCTCCTTTGCTTGTCTGCAATAAGATCGATGAATTTAATTTAATTTAATTTAATTTAATTTAATTTAATTTAATCTTGTATTCATCTCTTGATGCCCATGGCTGATATTAGTGGTGTGCATAAAAGGATAAATGTATAAAAACAAAAGCCAAAAGCCCGTTTCTAGTAAAAACATATCTTCAGCTTCAGTTTATAGTTTTTGTTAAACTTAGCAGGAATATTACTTCTCCATTCTAAATAGTGGCAAAAAGACATTGTATGCATTTCCAGTGTGTTTTGCAACATTTCAATGATAATAATATTAATAATAATGATTATTTAGATGTGATTAAATTGTGATTATCCCTTTTCACATCATGAGCAGAAAATTCACCAAATCTTGTAGAATTTAGTTGGTATACATACTTGTCTTGTAGCTTACGTAGAGCAGCATCTCTCTGCTTCACTATGTCTTCTACAGCCATTGAGTAGGTGTGTTCTAACTTAAAGATTGTCTCAAGAGCAGGAGAGTGTATGAGGGTATGAAACATCTCGCCAAACACAGCTTCATCTTTGGGTTTGGTGTTTGGTGCATGGCTTACACATTCCTATAAGAATACAAACACATAAAATATTGGTGTTTTAACAACACTACAGGAATAGCGTAGGTGTGTTCTAACTTAAAGATCGTCTCAAGAGCAGGAGAGTGTATGAGGGTATGAAACATCTCGCCAAACACAGCTTCATCTTTGGGTTTGGTGTTTGGTGCATGGCTTACACATTCCTATAAGAATACAAACACATAAAATATTGGTGTTTTAACTACACTACAGCCATTGAGTAGGTTTGTTCTAACTTCAACTTAAAGATCGTCTCAAGAGCAGGAGAGTGTATGAGGGTATGAAACATCTCGCCGAACACCGCTTCATCTTTAGGTTTGGTGTTTGGTGCATGGCTTACACATTCCTATAAGAATACAAACACATAAAATATTTTGTTTTAGCTACACTACAGCCATTGAGTAGGTGTGTTCTAACTTCAACTTCAAGATTGTCTCTAGAGCAGGGAGTGTATGAGGATAAATGTATGGAACATCTCTCCAAACACTGATTCATCTTTAGGTTTGTTCTATAAAAAAAACAGCACATAGACTGGTGTTATAACACTGCGAGCATGAAGAATATATGACACATGTATTTATGGGAAAGGTGTCTTGAGTTTAGCAGCAATGCCAAAGTTGAGGTAACATTATCGTGAAAGTTCTGCTCAATATCTTCATGTACCTCATTTACACTACACGCAATTAATAAATCAGTATGCAGGGAATAATTTTTCCTAAATTTTTTTATTAGCAATTTCAGCCGACGGATAAATATTTCAAATGAAATTCTGTACATCTCTATGAAAGAAAACTGCTACACAAAAGATATTTTGTATAGCAGTCATGCAAAAATGCATAGCAAATTGCGATGCGATACCAGGAAAATTATTCCCTGGTATGAATGTGTTATTGCCTTCTGTGTTAATTGGATTCATCTGCCCAAGACATCATTTTAGTAATGTTTGCTGATAATGATAACATACCTGTGTGAACGCCCTTGCCCATCTATCTGCAATGTTTCCTATCTCCTCATCACCACTGGACTGCAACACTCTGATAGCCTCCTCACCATTTTTATTGTGAAATGCTTCCGTTTCCTTGATAACAAATTTTTCCAGCTCTCGTGTTAGTTCTGAAATTATAATGATGAAAGGTTGATTATAATATGAGCAATGTATCCAGTATTCATGCAAGCTAAACTTTAGATCTTACCCATTTCCTAATCAGTCTGTAACACAAGAAAACTATTCATTAATCATTTACAGTAAAAAATATTCAAACAAATTAAAAATGTATAGGTTTTATTTTTGCCAATTTCTTGAATCTCTGTCTCTGTAGTGCATGGTTTCAAATTAAAATTTCAAGCCAAAGTCAGATGTAAATGAAAGTGTGCACATGCAGTTAGCGTAGATCTAGAGCTAGATGTACAGCCAGATCTAACATTACTCATGCCATGGCTCATAATATGCTAGATCTACTCTTTGTCAATCAACTTCACAACAAAACTTTTGATCAATTGGGCAAAAAGAATTTCCATTTTTGGTTTAATAAAATTTGGAGTGGACATTAAATGATTATTATTATTATTATTATTATTATCCTAATTTATAATAAAACCATCAAGACTATTATGGATTGCACTGAGTGACTAACCTGTACCTGTGCGGTCATTGATCTGCTCAACTAACTTACTATATGTATGGGAACAACTTTAGAATACCCCACCACTAAAATGGACAAAACGTTTGTAGGGTACCAAATACCAATGAAGCTAAATCTCGAGACTTAAGCTTGATAAGTAACCCTAAACCTAATCCTAACTCTAACCCCTAACCCTAGGTCTTTGACGTTTAGATCTATGTAGACTCATTAACCCTAAAAAAAGAAGAAAAAATAGGCCCAGAATTTCAACATTCAAAACGTCTCTATAACTTGAAGTCTAGCCCAGGCTACTCCTTAGGGTCTAGATCTAGACATCAACATCATCATCAACAGTATACGGAAGAAAAGCTAGTCCTGTTGGTCTTCTGGTCGCTACTTCTTTATGAATTATGGTTCTGAATATAGTCTAGTACAGACGAAAACAACTTTGACTGAAAAGCATGGGCGCTTGTTCAGAAAGTGGAAACCTATCCAAAATTTGACCCGTAACTCCAGCGTGGAGATACCCAACTAAAACATGCCCAAAATGAAGTAAATATTCATTAAATGTCCAAATAAAGATCATGAGTTAAAAATCGTTAGACCTAGCTAGATCTAGACCTAGGCCTAGACTAGACTAGACCTAGACTGTCTAGATCTATGTTTAGACTATTACCTGTTTCGTGTCAATTTTCTTGTAAATGTTATTTTTGGAGTATTTTTCAGATGCATAGATCTATGTAGCCTACATGTTTATTTCCTGAACTCTATCTTAATGAAAAAATATCACACAAACTCCCACGGTGGCCTTTTGTATAGATAAGATTTAATTTCTAAACAAAATTTATGCAAGAAAATCACCAATCTTGACTTAGGTTCTATATTACTAACGCAGATTTGAGCTAGTGGGACTGGATTGGACATTGTTGGGTAAATCAACGATCAACTCACCTTCTTCGACGAAACAGGGAAGATTGTGTGCACTGATCAACCGTCCAACAAATTCTTCAGCTGAGATATTCAGAGGTATAGTTATTGGAACAGCTAACTTTGTCAAATATTCCTTGGTTTTGAAGGAATACGTAAATTCTTTCTGGACGGAATCCATTTCAGTCGATTTTGTTTTCTTACCGGTATCGATAGACAGGGAATCGCGATACCGGTGGGTGTGTCCTCTTCATGTTTTTGTGTGTGTTTTTTTTTCCTTCTTTTTCCGTATGTTCGTTTGTTTGTTAGTTTTTAGTCTGTCTTTAACATATGTTCCAATTCATGGGTGTTAGATGCTAAAGGTGTTTATTTTCTTATATATATTCAATATGTTAATTTGAAGTAATATCTTAAAATACACTTAACTGTAATGATCTTGAATTTGTTTATATGAGTTGTATGTCACGTAGACCTACCTTCAATTACATTATATAATTATCAATGTTTGTTGAATGTTTACCAAATATTTATTGATGTAACACCTGTGAATGATGGAAATAAAAAATAAAAAATAATTATTAAAAAAAAAGGTCCCGGCCGGTGACTGAGCAATACGAAAATAAGTTGGTCAGTCATCCGGCTAGCTGCGCTAAAGATTGTATACACTGATTTATTGTACCACTTGGACAATAATGCATAATAATGTGCGTCTTTGTATAAATTTTAAAACAAAGTGATTCTTTAGATGTTATCAATTTGCCTAATTTAAGCAAATTTACGTAATTTTTGTTCTTTTCAGAAATGAAATACTGTATGTTCGAGTGTTTAGTTTAGGGCCTGACCACTCTTTGCTGAGTTATGTGAACTCTGTCCTGAAAGGTTGTTCAAGATACATATTATGGTGATAAGAAGAAAAGAGGAAAAAAGAGAAGGAGGAGAAGAAACTTACTTTATATAGGGAAGAGATTAAATATCACTTCCGTGCCAAAATATGTATTTTTGTTAAACATTTTATTCATCAAATTAAAAGGTGAATCAAATTTATATGATACACAAACATAATAAACCCGGTTACAAAAATTATTTGGTCAACCCTTTAGAAAATGGCATAGAACTGTATAAATATTGTTATAGTTTTTCAATTCAAATTTAAAAAGTGTTACTTGTGTTGTGATTAAAAAATATCAATAGGCCTAGCATTTAACAAAATATGTTTCTTATCAATTTTGTGTAATATCGAAGAAATATTAAAGCTCTGTAATCGATTCCTAATATGTAACTGATAGATAAATAATAAGAGGAAGACAAAAATTCGACCTGGTCAAGATAATTCTCAAACTATGTTCATTAATCCGATTAAACCTTTTGAAATTCTAGAAATTGTTCATAATTTGGATAGCAGTAAAAGTCCTGGAGACGATGATATAAACACATGTGTTATAAAAAGGCGATTGTTTTTTGGCACAGCCTTTATGTAATATTTTTAATATGTCTATTCAAGCAGGTATATTTCCCAGTAGTATGAAAATCGCTAAAGTTATACCATTTTTTAAGAAAGGAAAGAAAGAGCTTTTGACGAATTATCGACCAATATTAGTACTATCTATTTTCTCCAAAATATTCGAAAGTAAATGTACAGTCGTTTGGTAAATTTCTTGCATAAACATGATATTTTATATTCCAAGCAATTCGGAGTTTTTCATCATATATGGCTTGACTTGAACTCACAAATAATATCTCTGAAGCTTTTGAAAGTGATAAGTGCATTATAGGTTTATTCTTAGAGTCGAAAGCATTCGATTGTGTTGATCATCAAATTTTAATTCAAAAAATGAAAGACTATGTTGTTCGTGGTACAGCTTTAAATTGGTTCGAGCGTTACATACATGACAGAGTGCCAGTGGCGTACGCAGGATTTTTTCAAGGGGGGGGGGGGGGGGGGGGGTGGGGGTTTAACATTTTGAAATCGGGCTAAAAAATTTGCAACGACTCAGCCCGCCGCTGAATAAGCGGGGGGGGGGGGGGGTAAGACAAAACAAAACAACACAAAAAATCCACAAAAAAGGGGGGGGGGGTGCTCAAAAATACACACATTAAAACAAATTAAAAGGGGGGGGGGGGTTAACCCCCAACCCTCTCCCCCCCCCCCCCCCCTGCTTACGCGCCTGCAGAGTGCAGTATTTTTCTATTAATAATAAATCCTCCGTTACCAAGTATATAATCATCGGTGTTCCATAAGGGTCTGCGTGAGGGCCTTTACTTTTTATTCTATACATAAATGATATACAGTTTGTGAGCAAAATTTTACATGCAATTATTTACGCCGATGATACTAGCTTATTTTTACCAGGAGACAATGTTGATTATTTATGAAACACTCTGCACACTGATATAAAAAAAAATTCTGGTTGGCTTGCATCTAACAAATTGAAAATTAATCTTGTCAAAACATGTTGTATGCTTTTTCAACCCAAGAATAAAAATATTAAAATAACTGATATAAATGTATTTATTGGCAATTGCCAAATTCCATCTTTACATTTTACTAATTTCTTAGGGGTTGTTTTGGATGATAAATTAAGTTGGACAAATCATATTACTGAGACAGCATGCAAAATATCAAATGTCATTGGTGCGTTAAATCGTTTAAAGAAGGTTTTACTTCACCATATTCTAATTGCTATTTATCGGTCTACGATTGTACCTCATTTGACATACTGTAACATTATTTGGGGTAGTTGTGCGTCAACTTATAAGTTTACAAAAAAAGAGCAATACGAATTATTACCGGTTTAGCACACACGGATCCTCTTAAGGCTAAGCAGTTGAAAGTTCAAGATATACACAAGTTGCAATTAGCCAGTTTTATGTTTTCCCGTAAATTGTTCTTTTGTACCATACTCTACTAGACAGTCCAACCACATTCGAATTCCAAAATATAAGTATGAATTTTCCCGTACCACAATAACATTTAGTGGTCATAAATAGTCTTGGACTGAAATAAAGAATCGCCCTTCCTTATCTAGTTTTAAAAGGAATATATAAATATAATCTTATTAAACCTTACACCCTCTGAGTCTGCAAAGCGGTACGTTTGCCTTGTTTTTTTTGTCTTCCTGTTGTACCACCTAATTTATATTTAATTATTTATATATTTTGGGGACAAGCCTTTGGAAGGCCTTTGGCCTTTGTTTGTCCCCCCCCCCCCCCTCCCCACATTTTGATTCTTCCGTTCTGTTGTGCTATTTGTTTGAATTGACTTTGTATTGTAAATGTTTGTTATTGTGATTTTTATCGGATGTGAAAATAAAACAAATTGAAGGTTAAAATTGGATATGTTTAATGATAAACAAGAAAAGAGGAGAAGAGAAGGGAAGGAGGAGGAGAAGAAACTTTCTTTTTGACATGTGAATAAGAAATACGGAAGAGATCAAATATCGCTACCGTGCCAAAATATATTTTAACTTTCGCGTGAAGTTTTAAACGACGTATGAGAAGGTGAATTGAATTTATAATATACAAAAACATAATAAACCCGGTTACATAAATTATTAGGTCAAAGTTTTAGAAATGGAATAGAACTGTATTAATATTGTTTTAGTTTTTTAATCCAAATTTTAAAAAAAATGTTACTTGTGTCATGATCAGAAAATTATCAGTAGGTCTATCATTAAAAGAAATATGTTTCTTATCCATTTTGTGTAAAATCGAAGAAATATTAAAGCTCTGTAATCGATTCCTAATATGTAACCGATAGAGATGTACAAGTATAAATAATAAGAGGAAGAAAACAAAATGTTGATGATCAAGGAGAGCTAGAGAAAGGGAGAGGAGGAGGATTAGAATGAGCAAAGAAATGGACAGGAAAGGACAATACAAGGAGAGCAATCATGGCTACAGGCTACAGCTAATTTAGGTTTTCTTTTGATTATTTGTAAATTGTATAAATGTCTCTTCTTCTTCTCTCTTTCTTCCTTTCTCTTCTCTCTTCTTTCAAAGTCGCCGTTGCGTAATAGCTATTCTATACTCAGATAATTGATTGTCTCCATCATCTCCATCCAGGCATTTCTATGCCGGAGCACTTCTCATGTTGATTGCAGTGTGTCCGTGTGTGTGTGTGTGTGTGTGTAGGGCGTCTTCAGCAAATAGATTTACAGTTTCTGATATCTTGAAGGAATTTGATGAATATGAAAGTGAGATATCACTATATCCAGGAAAAATGATGTTATTAGGAGACTTGAATGTCCATTGGGAAGATATGACTAAAAATTATGTGCTCCAAATGAAGAATATCATTACATCTGCTGGGTTTATCCAACATGTTCAAGGTTCAGCACATAACCTGGGTCACAGTTTAGACTTAGTTTTACCCGAGAGGATTCAGTGATACTAGGCTGTCACACAGTCGATCTCTACATGCATTTCTGATCATTACAAGTCATGATCTGCTTTTCGCTGGCTAAACAAAAATCAGAGCCAATCTCTATTACTTTTTCCCTACACAACTATCGCAAGATCGATACAGTTCCATTCACTAATGCTTTACATGAATTAGTGTCATCTCAACCTGCAGGATTAGATAGTGAATCCTTATTTGATTGGTATGTTTCTGGAGTCACTAAGGTACTTGATACATAATATGCTCCATCTGTAACCAAGTCTCGCCCTTTCGAAGTTACGTAGACCTTGGTTCAACGAGTCTGTGCTTGTGGCACGCCAACATCGCCGTAAAGCGGAACGGAAATGGCGAAAAACAAAACAAGTTCATAGAGGTTAATAAGAATGTATGCCAAGTCATTGATATCGCTAAAGAAGATTTTTTGAAAGATAAGTTGGGTTCATGTACTGCCAAGGAGGTATATCAGATTATCCATTCTCTTTTAAATAAGAAGTCCAGCCAACTCCCCTTGTATGATTCTGCATCCAGATTGGCTAATCAGTTTTCTTCATTTTTTGTCGGTAAGATAAAGATAAGATATGAAATAGATACTTGTTATGTATCTGTTGATACCCAGTTTAGTGACACTCTAAATGAAAACATTCCTCTTTTTGAAAATTTTCAGTCGCTTACTCAATCAGATTTGTCCAGAATCATGTCATCGGCTACTAAATCCTGTCGACTTGATCCCACCCCAACATGGCTACTGAAAGAGAACTCTGATCATTTATTACCATTGCTTACAAACAAAGTCAATCAATCTCTTTCCACAGGTACTTTCCCCAACG